CATACAAACAGGCTGCAGTGTGCTGCTGATGGCAGCTGCCGAAGCCGACTATCGTTTCAAATACGTCCATGTCGGCGCCTTCGACAGAAAGCACGGCAGCATCGTGTTCGGCAGCTGCGGTTTCGGTCAAAGACTCACTCGGGAGAGCTTTACTTGCCGGTTGCGCCCGGAGGGGAGGTACCCCACTGCTTTGTAGGCGACGAGGCCTTCCCGCTACGAGAGACAAATTATGCGGCCGTACCCCGGAAGAGCCCTGGATGAGGGGAAGAGTGAAGACGGGTAGAAGATGCAGCGAAAAGTGTATAACTACAGACTCAGCAGGGCTCTACGAGTTTACGAAGCAGCATGCCAGGAGCACGCGGCAGAGGTACCCGTGAAAGGAAAAGGAATGCTGCTCGTAAGCTGTTCACAGAAAGTGATCAGAGCACTGGTCGAAGAGCGCATCACACGCCAAACCACCGTGGAAGAGCTGCGACACGAGGTCCGCAGGCCAGCTATGGTATGCATACCATAGATTAGAAACTGTCGTAGACTATATATTTCGTGGGAGTACCTAGGTACATACTTCCATACCTGATAGTTGAGTTTTAATAACATGTAATTGTACCTTTAACGGTTTTGATGCTCAGTGATACTACTTTTCAGTGTGTCAAAAACGCACCATCGTTTTACAGCGATATTCTTTTGTCCAGGATATCGTCAGGGAAGTGGAGGAGGGAGAAGAGGCAGCCAAGGTCCTGTAGTGGACCGTACCGCAATGGTCATTTCACGATGGAACCGTGCAAATTATATAAGCGGGAAGTTGCGCCATCCCTAGTCACCTCCCACCTCCGCCAGCGCCAGGTCGTGCCTCATCACGGGACAGGCAGTGCCACCTAGGTGCGCCGGGGAGAACTACAGGTCTTATAGTGCCACCAAATGTCGCGCACACACGACAGGCGCAGATATATGGATTTTAGAACGTGGGTGATATATTGTAACAGCGTTGATTTCTACCAGGAATGTATTTTAGCAACTCACAGCGTGGGCGCAGGCACTGGAACCACAACGGCTACCACAACTGCACGTAATTAAGTCCGACATACGACTTATGTTGGACTCGAGGCAACGCTGCCCAAGCGGCCTTTCCGTTAGGACGCCGAGCGACGGAGTGCGCGCAGCGATTTTTTTGTCTCCCTCTGTTCTTTCTAGGGCGTCTTTCAGAAGAGCCCAGGAAGGGGCCAGGGGTCGAGGCCAGCCAATGCCAAAACACCGAACGTAATAGCTTAGCCCGGACTCACTTAGCAACCTTAACGCTAATAATCATTTTGTTACGGTGTTACTTTCAATGTCTGTATAAGGTCTTCTCACTGACGTCACGTACCGCGTGCGGCCGCCATGACAGTGGGTATCGAACCTGCGCCGAAAAGGCCGCCGTTGTGTTTACTTGTGTTATGAGAGCGGTGCGGTTTCTGTGTGTTGGGGGTTTAAGGCCGTCTCTTGGTTAATTTCTTGTTTGCGAGAGTGTATTAAGCATGGCAGGAGTGAAACGGAGAAAAGTGGATCTTGATCAGGGCTTTTTACCAGGTTATTCTAGTACAATACAAGATGAGAGAGGGCGTGAAAGGTTTACAAGACAAGCTTAGGTATCTCTCTGGTACGGACCCCTATGAAGTGCCTCTGAAGGAATGGGAAGATAATGTGGAGCTGTGGCCCTCAATCTCATACATTCATGTTGGTATGTACCTCCTATTCTCATCAAGTGCGTACACCCAGGACCAGCTCATGGACTATAAAAACTTGGACTGTTACAAGAAATTTACAAGTGGCTGGGTCAGAGAGGTTTATGTGAAGAGGACAGGTGTTTGTTTGTTTGTTGGGGGTTAGGGGCGCGCGAAGAGGACAGGTGATGACAGAAGGGTGGTGATTGCGAAGGTGAACCATTCTCAGAGGCTGTCAGAAAAACCTCTCACCCCTGGGTGGTCTGCGAACCATCTGGCAGAGTGCTCGCTGGTATCTTGAGTGCGCGCGTTTCATCTTTCAGTTACAATATATTCGTTTACGCTCAAACAAACAGTTATTAGTGCATCCAGACACTAAAGTGGTGACCCCGACGCGATCGATTGCTATTTTCCGAGAATTTCTCGCCGAGTGCATCGTGTATTTTAACCGCTGAGGCCCAGAGACAATGACGACGCAGCCTGAGCAGCAGCAGCCGCCGCTGCAGCGGCAGGAACCCCCGGCTCCGCAACCGGCCTCATCTCGGCCGTACGCCGCCTTCAGGCTCCCGCCGTTCTCTGCGGACGACATGGGCCTGTGGCTGGCCCAGGTCGACTGCGCCTGCCGCGTGGCGGGCATCACCGACGACGCCATCAAGTTCGACCTGGTTGTTTCTGCAGCGCCTCCCTCAGGCCACTCGAGCAGCTCTGCCTCTGCTGGCGGAGGACACCCCTCTGGACCAGCTGGCCACGGCAGCTGACAGCAGCTGGCCACGGCAGCTGACAGCAGCTGGCCACGGCAGCTGACAGATACCTGGTAGCATCTGCGGCTACCCCAGGCACCCTGGGAAAGGCAGCCATCACCAGCGACATGGCACTGCTGCCTGCCACGCCAACAGCCGAACAAGCACCTCCAGAGACAGGGGCAATGGCTGCCATGCACAGCATGATCGCGAGCCTGACGGCAGCCGTCGGCAGGATGGAGACTGCCCAGACCGACCGAGAGCGGCAACGCCACAGATCTCCATCTCCGATCTCATGCAGCTGTGGCCACAGGCGTGGCACCTCACCCTAGCGCCACTCGGGGAACAGAAGCCGGACCAGGTCCCAGTCTCGGAGCAGGGCGCACAGCGACGGGCTCTGCTTCTACCATGCAAGGTTCGGAGCTGATGCGCACAAGTGCCGACCTCCCTGCACATGGCAGGGAAACGGCACTGCCTGAGGATGTTGACGCCGCCACCCTCAGGCCTCCCAACGCCGGCGCAGCTACTACTGGTGGAGGGCGGACACTGCCAGTTCTTGGTAGACACAGGCGCGCAAATAAGTGTTCTGCCACCCACCAAGCTGCCCGCTGGCGCGCAAGTGGACACGGCCGCTGTCCCCAGCCTCGCTGCTGCCAACGAGGCCAGGATCCGGACAGTGGGCTACACGGACTACACCCTGACCATGATGGGGCGTCAGTACCCTTGGCAATTCCTGTGTAGACTGTAGAGTGTAGCGTGATGCAGTTTTGGTGTGATGTACGGTGAGGCCTCGTGGAGCCGGGGGGTGTGCAGCGGCTGGGTGGGGAGTGTGACGAATGCATGAGTCAGGATGAGCGGCCGCCCGCCCAGTGTGAGCCGCCGCCGCCGACGCTGGATGCCGGTAAGGCCGGGTTGCATTCGGTGCTCTCCGGTGCTATGAACTCGAGCAGTAATTGAAATGACGTATGGACGTGTGATTGGCTGGTGATGACGTGATGGGTGCCTACGAGGTGTGAATCTGTGGCATGGTGGGTCAGTGGGCGACATGCACTGACGGCGTGAGGGTGTGCGCTGAGGAATAAAGGGCCCTGTAATGGACCGTACCGCGATAATCATTTTGTTACGCTGTTCCTTTCAATGTTTGTATTCTTTCTGTAACTCGCGCGCTATCATTGTCGATTCTCGTCAGCTGTTTAATTTAAAGAACATTTGTATTTCATCTTAATTGTGTAATATTGTTAAACGCGAATTACTCTAAATTTGATGTTCGTAAACCGAACTTGTCTTGTCGTCTTGCCTCAACATATCATCCGCTTTTTATTGACATTAATTTCTCACGCCGCTGATTGTAACTTTATTTATTTCGTTCGTTTCTACAAACATGTTTCGTGCTCGTCCACGGCAACGCTGTGGACGCTGTCTGTTGCTTCCGCCCTGGTATCTTGAGTGCGCGCGTTTCATCTTTCAGTTACAATATATTCGTTTACGCTCAAACAAACAGTTATTAGTGCATCCAGACACTAAAGTCCTCAAAACGCACCTAGTCCGCTACCCTTCTCTGGCTGCTGACGTGAGGACCATGTCGCCAAACAATCCTCATCCACACACCACATCTGGAGGCAAAGCCAGTGGCCCAAACTCAGAATCCGAGTACAGAAAGCTGGAACCAGAGACTGATCAGTTGGAAGAAGTACTGAAATACCAAATGAGAATTATATTATAAGGAAATCGGCAGAAGAAAATCAGCAAGTCATCAGAGAACTTGGGGAGTTCCAAGGACGAAATATGTGTACTCCGCAAGAGCAAAATGAAACAATCTTACATTGTGTAGAGCAAATGAAGAGTATTGAGACAAAGAAGAAGACAGGGACCAAGAAGACCTGGAATTTGGCAGCAAAATAAGCTTGAAATGCATCTTGTATAGAGAAGGACCCAAAAAGGTATATTGGTGTGCCTTCAGGCTACCTAAAAGCTGTACATATTTTGGCTCATGACCATATTCACCACGCTGCTGGACCAGGTCCGAGTGCTTAGGTGTGTTTGATTGTGTTGATGAAAATCAAGCTGAACAGGAGTTCCGACGCCATAGCTGATGACTTTGAAGTATCGAGAGGTCATGTAGGCAAACTCTTTGCTATGCATTTGTCATGCATTGCAGAGGCGCTGAGAGAGCTAGTGTTTTGGCCTCCCGCCGAGGCTATCAGGCAGGCTCAACCGCTTGCCTTTAAGGCTTGTTTTGCACGCACTACGTGCATCATTGTCTGATGATTCAGGCGGAAAAGCCAGGCGCTTCTGTAAACCAGTCAATCACATTCTAATCCTACAAAGAATGCAAAACGGTTAAATACGAGGTGTGTCATTAAAGTTCCAAGACTGGTGTCCTAAAAGATGAATTTCAAACCCAAGCCACAAACCACCATATTTCCCCTTCAAAGTAATCCTTCTGGAGTATACAACTGCGCTCCCAACCCTCAGTCTACAGTCACTAATCTTTTTCTTACGTGCTTTTAAAATCATGTCCTCTGTTGCAGGTCGTTTAATAATGAGCGCTGAACAGCGAACAAACTTGAAGTTTTTGGTGCAGTTAGGGAAAACGCCGTCAGAAGCACTGGGCATGCTGCAAAAAGTGTACGGGGATGAGACAATGTCACGCTCACGTGTTTTTGGGTGGTGCAAGAGGTTCAAAGAGGGCCGGGAGGACGTGGAAGATGACCCCAGGAGTGGAAGACCCTCAACGAGCAGGAATGAGGCCAATGTTGAGCGCGTCAAGCAGATGGTGCGTGACGATCGTCGGTTGACTGTTCGACAGATCGCAGATGAGCTTGGCATGAACCACAACAGCGTGTGGAAGATTATCACTGAAGATCTGGGCATGCAGAAAGTCTGTGCGAAGATGGTGCCGAGACTCCTGAACGATGACCAGAAGGGACGACGCATGCAGGTGTGTCAGGACATCCTCGAGCGTCTGGAAACTGAACCAGACTCGCTCAGGAGAGTCATCACCGGCGATGAGTCCTGGGTATTTGAGTACGACCCGGAGACCAAACGCCAGAGCCTTCAATGGAAGAGTCCGGCGTCGCCACGGCCGAAGAAAGCAAGGCAGTCCAGGTCCAGCTTCAAGGTCATGTTGATCGCTTTCTTCGATGTGAGGGGCATCGTCCACTGCGAGTTCTTGCCACAGGGCCAGACAGTCAACCAACATGTGTACAAAGAAGTACTGCGGCGTCTGCTTCGTGCAGTGCGCGAGAAGAGGCGGGAGTTGTGGCAGGGCAACTCGTGGCTGCTTCACCACGACAATGCACCTGCTCACAATGCCCTGATGATGAATTGGGGGTTTTGGGCGCCTGATGGCACTGTGGTTTTTGTGAGTGATTTGTTCCTGGGGTCGGCATCCGACAAAGACATAGCCCTGCGCAGCGGGATCTTGGAAAGACTGTCTCCAGGTGACTTTAAAGTGGCTGACAAGGGCTTCACGATCCGCAACGTTCTCCCTCCATCGTGTGCACCTGAACGTACCCCCCCCCCTCCGGCTGGTGCACCAGCAGTTTACCCCCTGCGAAAACCGTCTCACCACTGATATCGCTCGAGCGAAAGTTTGTTTACGCCCAGCAGCTGACTGCGCCAAGAAAGTGATGTCACAGCTTCGGTCGCGTATAGAGAATAGTTGTGGAGTCACAATAGAGTCGGATAAATGTTTCAGATGAATCATATCCTCGTTTGTTAATTGGGGCTTTTGGGCACGCCGACTACTAAGGTCATTTTGCGCCCATCATTGCACGAGACAAGCAAGACTCCTGTGCAGCAACATGCCAGGAGCACGCGGCATATGTAACCGTGGAAGGAAAAGGATTGCTGCTCGTAAGCTGTTCACAGAACTAGTGATCAGGGCAGTGGTTGAGGAGCGCACCACACGCCAGACCACCATGGATGAGCTGCGACACGAGCTCCGCAGGCCAGCTATCGTATACATACTGCTGGAATTATTGTTTTATTCAGGTCAGAGGTGGAACATGTCTCAGCAATATCATTGTAAGAAATTTAAATAATGTTTGAATACTGCTAATTACTCGTATATGTACCTTAAAGTTACATTATTGTCAGGTTTTCTTGCAGCATCTGTCTTACCGCAGAGTTCCTCGACAGAAAGATGCGGATATCGCCCGCGATGTGCGCACTAAGTGTGTTCAAAACTCCGTGACGAAGTGAAACTGCTCCGAGCCAGGATGGCCAGTTTCGAGTAGTGTGTCACATCAGATCAGTGTATGATGTAAGTGCCTTGTACAGTCTGTCTTAGAAGTACCGCGCTAAGTGACGGTGGATCCATCAAGCCTGACCGAGAAAGGACTGCTAAATTTGAGTCACCGAAACAATGGACATCCTCGTCCATTCCCCAGGCCAACTGGTTCGGCGACTTTCAAATTATAGCAAGTGTAGGGCTGGTCGCGTCGGCGGCCGCCGGGTCGGCGCGGACGGCGCGGTGCAGGCCGGCTGCGAGCCGGCGGCCCGGCGCTAGCGGATGTTTTGTGAACCTGTATTCGGCGCGGTGTTTTTGTGCGGGGAAGGGAGGCGCGTAGGAGGCCAGCGAGGCCGGAACCATGCGCCGCCGTCAACCGATTGGTCTGGCCTCGACCGGCTGACGGGGGCGTATCCGCCTCGGGCTGGTATGTAAGCGCAGCGTGAAAGCAAACGGGGGCTGAGTGTCTGCAACCCGAGGTGGTGGCAACACTGGGCACCCGACCGCTCTTCACGCTGCTGGCATCTGGCTCGAGGTAGGTTCCGACCCCGCAAGGATTGTCGCGGGCTCACGGACATCCCTTAGCTAGGTTAGGAGCATCCGGGAGGAGGGTTAGGTTAATTCGCGTAGCGTAGGGTAGCGTTAGGGTTAAGAGTCATGGTTTACGAATATTTCACTCGGCAGTCTTTTATATTGATTTCGGCAATTTGATAAATGTGAATAAATGGGGGGATGAATCGATAGCGTCTTTTGGTAATGAGATGAGTCGAAGGAGTGCGGAGTTTGAGCGGAGTCAGATTCATTCGGTACCTTAGTTAGTCATCATGGCTCAGGAGCTTAGCTCCAAACCCACGAGGGTTCGCTACCAACCGCGTGTGCCACAAAATGGCGGAGTTATTCACCTGAACCACGATGCATAGTTTAGTTCAATTAGTGTAGAGGACAGTGGCCCGGGTGGCAGACGGGTAAAAGGCTGGGAGACGTCCCGGCCGACCACTGATCCTGTAGAGTAGAGTAGAGATCCGGAGGGGAGGTAACGAAGGGCCTGCAGGACCGGCCTAAGCCCCCCTCACATAATGGTGCTAATCGGCCGGGAACGTTCTTTCAAGTAAAATTCGGCTGAACAACATTTTTCTCCCGGTAGGTGTCAGGTACGCCATTAGGTACGTAAGTCTTAAACTGCATTATCTAGTGAAACGCCCTGCCCGTAAAGTCGCCGGAATCGCATGTTAGTACGTGGTTTTGTAAATCTTAAACTGTTTAAAAAAACGGCTAACAGTAAGTCTAAAAAACGTTTTTCATTCTTGCTGGTATGAGGATACGCCGCTAACGTAAGACTTAAACTGCATTTGGCGAAACGGCCTGCTGTAAATCCAGTGCGCTTGCTCAGTACGTGATTTTGTAAATCTTAAACTGTGTAAATCAGACGGCTGCAGCTGTTAGACGCCCCCACCGAATAGATCTTGAAAGAACGGTCGATTGAGCCATTCTAAATTTATTAAATTTACTCCGCTCAATATCCGAACTTCTAAGAACAAACGAGCCAAGCCAGCAGCAAAAATTGATAGGCAAAAGTTTGCAATGACTGCAATAAAAATAGCAACACAAAGAAAACTTTTGCAACTCATGAGTTGCAAATATGTTGAGTGAAAGTGCAAGTGCAGTCTTGTGTTGGCAATGTTGTTGTGTGTGAGGTGTGAGTGTGTTGAATGACGGGTAAGGAAGTAAACGAATGATTGTTATTTGCTTGGGTGATGGTATGATAAGAGTGAGTGAAACGTGTAAATGTGTTTAAGTAGCTGAATGAAAGAGGAGAATGGCTCGGTGAGAGGGTGACTGTGTAAAAGTTACACGATTTGGCTACAGAACCATTATATCATTTCGTTTCTAAGTGTTTCAGAACTGCGCATTATGTGAATGGAACGCCCTTAATGAATATTGTTGGCAAAGGTTTCAGTTTATAAATCCTTGAAAAACGCACGTCAGTAAAAACATCAATTCAAGCAATGTAATTCGCGGCTGACTAACTAGCTGTGTCAATGGCAACAGTTTAATTCAACCTTCGCCTTCACCTAAAACTACAATTTCTTATAAGTTCCGTTTGCCGTAAATTATGCTGAAGTAGGTATATTCGTTAAAAAGAAAACTGTCCGGAGTCTTAAATCCATTAAAAATTCATTTCTATATGCTGTCCTGACGACCCAGTTTCTCGTCCATGACGGTTGATACCGCAATACCGCAACATGTTAGTAAAACAAAAAGGCGGGGATAAAAACCCCCGGACATTCAAAGTAGGGCGCCGTCACCGACTGGCTACGTCTGTGCTGCATGCCAGTGAACAGACGGTGGGGACAAAACCCGCTGTTACGGTACTGCTCGACCCACTACTTTTTCTACAGCCTCGGGTCGTTGCCGCGACGTGCCAGTAACCCAGAAAGTGGGAACAAAAACCCGAGTGGGCGAGATAAACGCCGGGACATGCCGGCAACTTTTTATGCGTCCACGCCAGGCCGCGCTCGAATGTCGTTTTTGTTCGTGCCGTGTGTTGAATTTCCGGCTCGGGTTTAAATTGCAAGGAGGGTGTGCCGCCTTATTGTGGTCCAGGATAGCTAGCTCTGGTAAGATGGCAGGTTGAAGCCGTCCGCCCTTCTGATAACTGTAAACGCATTTCAACAAACACCCAGACCCCTAAAGCGCTGATTTCCTCTCGCAGAGTTTGCTGTCGCAAGACACTCGGGCGGCTGGCAATCGAGCAATCGGGCCATTGGACTCCTCTCAGAGTTCGACGGTTTGGTGACGTCGTCGCTTTGAGAGTGAGTACAAGTAATTGATCATTTCAAGATGTCTCAAGACAATCCTCAACTATCACCTGATAAAGGCGTGGGAAAACCCGATCTGCCCCAACGAAACGTAGAAGAGCATGTGTATGTACGAATACAGTCCGTATACGGCAACTGATCAATCAACACTGGTGAATATGACAGAACCATCAATGGATGTGCGGCCGACTGCGCCGCCTCACCTCTCAGGTCAATCACCAGGTCTGGGAGCCCGGCCGAGGCTGCCGCTCCCGGCGTACGGCTTGGGTGCCGGGGCGCGTGCGCGCCACCTCCAAGGCCAAGGCCACGGCTCGCGACCGATGGGGCATTTGCCTCATTCAGGACCTAAAAACATGGGAGCGCTGCGGGAAGTATTAAGCTATGACCCTGACCGGGAGGAGCGCGGAGGCCCCACGATACGGGACTTTATCGAGTCCGCCGAAGGGGCATTAACCTTGGGCAATCTGGATTATAAAGACTTAATGCAGATCATGCCTATGCGGCTGCAAGGGGCCGCGAAAGCATTTTACCGAACCTTCATGGAGCAAGGGCCTGAGTTTGCAGTCTCCTATGCTGGGAATGCATTGGGAACCTTTCAGCGAGGCCCTGTGCGACCGGTTCAGTCGTCCGGTTGATTCGCTATCTACACTAATGAGCCTGGCAGACTGCCGTCAAGGGGACAAAGAGAGCGTGCGGGCGTATGCCCAGCGCGTGAGGACCTCAGCGGCGCTGCGACAGCGGAACGGCGCCGAACAACATCGGGGGTGGCATCTTCAGCGGTTGGCGGGAACAATCGGCACGCCATCTGGGCCGGTAGCAGCGCCATCGCTGCACCCCGCGACGGACACCGCAAGCGCTCTGATGCCATCTACACCGGCGGGCAGCGCAGCAGAAGCCCCAGCGACCGAAGCCCCAGCTGCTGAACCAAAGGTCCCATCTGCTGCGCTGCAATGCAAATGGTCCCGCTGCGGGAGTGGCTGCGCAAGCGAGGACGGTGGCGCTGAAGTGACGGAGGCGCCGCGACTGCACGGGGCGCAGAAGGAGGCGCCACGACTGCACGGGGCGCTGCGGGAGGCGCCGCTATACTGAAGGTGGCGCTGAAAGAGGCGCCATAACTACAGGTGGTGCTGAAGGAGTCGCTGAATCTGAAGCTGGCGCAGAAGGAAAAGCTGCGACTGACGACGGCGCGGAAGGAGGCGCTGCTACGCACGTGGCGCTGAAGGAGGCGCGACTAATGAAAGTAGTGGCCCACGGAAGAATGCGCTGAGGGAGACGCGCAACTGATGGTGGCGCTGAAAGAGGCACGACTAAAAGGTGGCGCTGAAGGAGGCGCTGCTACGCACGTGGCGCTGAAGGAGGCGCGACTAATGAAAGTAGTGGCCCACGGAAGAATGCGCTGAGGGAGACGCGCAACTGATGGTGGCGCTGAAAGAGGCACGACTAAAAGGTGGCGCTGAAGGAGGCGCTGCTACGCACGTGGCGCTGAAGGAGGCGCGACTAATGGAGGTAGCGCTGAATGAGGCGCCATAACTACAGGTGGTGCTGAAGGAGTCGCTGAATCTGAAGCTGGCGCCGAAGGAAAAGCTGCGACTGACGACGGCGCGGAAGGAGGCGCTGCTACGCACGTGGCGCTGAAGGAGGCGCGACTAATGGAAGTGACCCACGGAAGAATGCGCTGAGGAAGACGCGCAACTGATGGTGGCGCTGACAGAGGAACGACTACAAGGTGGCGCTGAAGGAGGCGCTGCTACGCACGTGGCGCTGAAGGAGGCGCGACTAATGGTGGTAGCGCTGAATGAGGCGCCATAACTAAAGGTGGTGCTGAAGGAGGCGCTGCATCTGAGGCTGGCGCTGCAGGAGGACTACTGACGACGGAGGAAGAAGACGACGGAAGAAGGCGCTGCGACAGCATGTGGCGCTGACTGCAGTGAAGGAGGCGTAACCACTGAGGTGGCGCTAAAGAGGCTCCCCCAAAGTAAGGGGATTTTTCCCCGGGCCCAAAGAGGGGGATATTATGTAGGGCTGGTCGCGTCGGCGGCCGCCGGATCGGCGCGGACGGCGCGGTGCAGGCCGGCTGCGAGCCGGCGGCCCGGCGCTAGCGGATGTTTTGTGAACCTGTATTCGGCGCGGTGTTTTTGTGCGGGGAAGGGAGGCGCGTAGGAGGCCAGTGAGGCCGGAACCATGCGCCGCCGTCAACCGATTGGTCTGGCCTCGACCGGCTGACGGGGGCGTATCCGCCTCGGGCTGGTATGTAAGCGCAGCGTGAAAGCAAACGGGGGCTGAGTGTCTGCAACCCGAGGTGGTGGCAACACTGGGCACCCGACCGCTCTTCACGCTGCTGGCATCTGGCTCGAGGTAGGTTCCGACCCCGCAGGGATTGTCGCGGGCTCACGGACATCCCTTAGCTAGGTTAGGAGCATCCGGGAGGAGGGTTAGGTCAATTCGCGTAGCGTAGGGTAGCGTTAGGGTTAAGAGTCATGGTTTACGAATATTTCACTCGGCAGTCTTTTATATTGATTTCGGCAATTTGATAAATGTGAATAAATGGGGGGATGAATCGATAGCGTCTTTTGGTAATGAGATGAGTCAAAGGAGTGCGGAGTTTGAGCGGAGTCAGATTCATTCGGTACCTTAGTTAGTCATCATGGCTCAGGAGCTTAGCTCCAAACCCACGAGGGTTCGCTACCAACCGCGTGTGCCACAAAATGGCGGAGTTATTCACCTGAACCACGATGCATAGTTTAGTTCAATTAGTGTAAAGGGCAGTGGCCCGGGTGGCAGACGGGTAAAAGGCTGGGAGACGTCCCGGCCGACCACTGATCCTGTAGAGTAGAGATCCGGAGGGGAGGTAACGAAGGGCCTGCAGGACCGGCCTAAGCCCCCCTCACACAAGCCCTTCCTCGGTCAGGCTTGATGGATCCACCGTTACCTTGCACGGTACCTACTTTTAAGACAGACAGTACAAGGCTCTTGCAAGAGTCTTGTACAGGGTGTCCGGGAATTATTTGCCCCTCCATCAATTCGCCGACATAATTAATAAACAAAGAGCCCCCAGGACATGGTTTATTTACCGATTTATCCCCTGCCCTGTCATATCCATTCCCTCATCCGCTTTGGCCTCCCATAGATCAAGATGTCCAGAGTATCCGCGCTGATGTTCAGCCACACCTCTCACAGGTTCCTCTAAAGTCCGTTTTCTGTGGGAGCTGGTTCAATCTTGCTGAGGTCCTCCCTCATGATTCCCCATAGGTTTTCGATTGGGATTAGGACAGATGATTCGATTTGACTCCCTACTTCATTCATCTGGCTGATGTAGGAGACAGTCCCACATCAAGGCTTGCTCGGTACTTTTCAGTTCTGGACCAAAGAGCGACCTATTGGGCCATTCCTCTCGAAGAGAAGTCGAGGGGGTGAGAGTGTTCGCCACTGAGTACGGATTGCATCATAGGACCAGGATGCCGTTCGGCATGGAGACCAGCCCAGGTTCATTCCAAAGGATTCAGGGGCGAAACTGGAAGCAGGCACTAGTGTACAGTCTGTCTTATAAGTACCGCGCAAAGTGACGGTGGATCCATCAAGCCTGACCGAGGAAAGGCCTGCTTTAATTTGAAAGTCACCGAACCAACTGACCTGGGGAATGGACGAGAATATCAATTGCTTCGGTGACTCAAATTAAGCAGGCTCTTCCTCTGTCAGGCTTGATGGATCCACCGTTACTTTGCGCGGTACTTTTAAGACAGACTGTACGTAAATCTAGTCTCTCTTGAAAGCATTGCGTCTCAAAAGTATTGCTGACTCTCTGGTTTAGAGCCCCTGGCTTTTGAAGGTAGGCCACTTGGCCGGCCCGTGAAAGCGTGAAAACGGTACGGGGAAATTGTCAACGACTTTGAGGCGCACGGCGTTGCATGATGTATTTCACCTATCCCTTGCCAGAACTGAGGAGCAGAAACAGTGCATTCCTAGTTCCTAGAGTGGTCGAGAAGCATCGCCGCAAATATCATTCGTCAGAAACGTGAGGATATGGACAACCCTGATCCCACGCAGTTTCGCTTCAAGTGTACATATGCACGCACTGCTATGCTTGTTGGTAGCACCTTATAGGAATAGGTTTGAGCCTAACCAGGGCACTTCGATGTAACTACTTCGTCAAGTTAATCACCTCGAGACAGCAAAGTAGGCGACCCCTGGGGACAAGAATTTCCATAGCAAAAAAAAGTGATACCGAGCGGCGGCGCGAGCGAGATTTCAAAGCGTGATTAGGGAGGGAGGGGGGGGGGGGAAGCGAGGTGGCGAAAGTTTCAGTGTTAATCGTGGTTGAAGCGTGATACGGAATTAAAATAGCAAATATGACTAATATGAGCAGTGAGCAGTGTGAAATACTGCTAGTCCAGCACTCGTCACGATGTAATAAGGAGAGAAAGATTTGGCTGCAATGTGTGAAAGAGAGGCTGCAAAGCGTATACAATGGCAACGCGCAATTCGTGCGTGGCAAGACCCAAGCTGAATATATGCTATGCAATAAAATGGAACAACGAATGCGTGAAGCTGTCCCATCAGATTTGTGGTTTTTGTCCCTGGTTCGAAACCGGTAGCTGTAGAGAAGAGAAGAGCTGCATTTCATGAGATGCTTTGCGTCCTGCCTAGCAACATGCTCGCCATACTTGAGCCATGGATGATATAACACCTACGTTGCCTTATATTTTTGTGTGTAGCATTAACGGCACCTGTTTGTTTATTTTCCAGGGTCCCAGCACCTCTGCCGATGCCGAGGGCTCAGCAGCCGCCGCCGTCGACCCCGGCGAGGGCATCAGTGGGCCGCCGGAGATCGCCGTTTCAAGGAGGGCTGACCCGTCATCGGTGAGCATACAGGGAAATGAGAATTGCATAACGATGTGCGATGGAAACCGATCCATTTGAATAACATTACATTTAAAACGTTTACCGCAGCGTCCAAAGTACGCAACGTCCAAAATGCGTCCAAAATCGGGTTTATAGCGGGCATTCACAAAGTCCAAAACCGAAACATCCAAAACCGCACCGTCCAAAAACGTATCATCCAAAGTACGTAACCTCCAAAACCACAACGTCCAAGACCACGACATCCAAGGCACGCAACATCCAAAACCAACCTAACCTAACCTAACCTTACCTAACCTACTGATTTTTGCCTATCCCTAACCCAACCTAACCTAACCTAACCTACTGATTTTTGCCTACCGGGGATAAGGAAACCCAACCTAACCTAACCTAACCTAACCTAACCTTACCTAACCTAACCTACTGATTTATGCCTACCGGGCATAAGGAAACCTAACCTAACGTTTTTGGATGATACGTTTTGGATGTTGCGGTTTTGGATGTTTCGGTTTTGGACGTTGTGAATGCTCCCTATATACCCGATTTTGGACGTATTTTGGACGTTGCGTACTTTGGACGCTGCGGTTTTGGATGTTGCGTACTTTGGATGCTGCGGTTTTGGACGCTTTGGGGGGACCATCAAAAACCGCAGCACCCAAAGTACGCAACATCCAAAACCGCAGCGTCCAAAGTACGCAACGTCCAAAATACGTCCAAAATCGGGTTTATAGGGAGCATTCACAAAGTCCAAAACCGAAACATCCAAAACCGCAACGTCCAAAAACGTAGCATCCAAAAAACGCAACATCCAAAGACGCAACATCCAAAGTACGTAACCTCCAAAACCACAACGTCCAAGACAACGACATCCAAGGCACGCAACATCCAAAACCAACCTAACCTAACCTAACCTACGGATTTTTGCCTATCCCTAACCCAACCTAACCTAACCTAACCTACTGATTTTTGCCTACCGGGGATAAGGAAACTCAACCTAACCTAACCTAACCTAACCTAACCTAACCTAACCTACTGATTTATGCCTACCGGGGATAAGGAAACCTAACCGGTTTTGGATGTTGCGTACTTTGGATGTTGCGTACTTTGGATGTTGCGTACTTTGGACGATGCGTCCTTGGATGTTGCGTTTTTGGATGATACGTTTTGGATGTTGCGGTTTTGGATGTTTCGGTTTTGGACGTTGTGAATGCTCCCTATATACCCGATTTTGGACGTGTTTTGGACGTTGCGTACTTTGGACGCTGCGGTTTTGGATGTTGCGTACCTTGGATGCTGCGGTTTTGGACGCTTTGATGGTCCCCCGAATAACCTTATGCTCATGTTATATGTTGCAAATTGATGT